CGGGCCGCCGGCGCTGTTCGCCGCGTTTGCTGCAGCGGCGCAGGCAAGATCAGCTCCGGATCTGCGGCCGAGCCAGGGTTACGCCGGCAAAACCGCCCCCAGCTTTGCATTTCCGGACTTTTTTATAAAATACTCTTACCCGTAATTCAGCCTGAATGAGGCTTTTTTAAAAAAATCGAGTTTCCTGTTTTTATTTAGGCTTCCTCATCTGCACCTCTTCCTCTGAGATAGAGAAGAGGGGAACTGGCACGACCTTTCGTGGGCACCAGGATGGGGGCGTTGCGGGGCGGGAAGACGGGGGTCCAGAGAACCGGGGAAGGGCCGCTGGGAGGTCCCGAAAGTGCGCTCTGGGTGGGGCGAAGGTGAAGCAGGTAGGGGCGAGATTTCCGGGGTCGCGGGTGGGGGGCGCCCTGGAGCGGCCAAGATGCAGGTTCCTCGCGTGGCCCCCCTGGGATCTGCCCAGTTTGCGGATGGAGCGCGGGGCTGATGGGCCAGCTCTCACTTGGTATAGGGGTTCCCTGGAAGGAGGGACCTGCGGATCTTGAACCCCACCAGACTCCATTAACGGGGCCTTCCCGCCGCCTCCTGAGAAGTCCCACCTCTGAAATGCTGGGCACAGCCGCGCGTGGATGTGGGGCGGGTGTGCCGTGGGTTGGAGTGGGAGGGGGCTATTTTTCCTCACTCAGGGCTCTCGGAGGGGAAGGTTTACTGCTCCCTGGGGACTTTAAAACCAAGGGCTAACCCCCTGCTTTCTTTCAGGAGTGCCTGACGGTGCCTTGGTGTTCTTGTCAATTGAATGGTACCATAGGGACATTACTCCCCAAAGAACTGGTCGTTCTTACCTAGGTGATTTCAGTTGGACAACCGTAGGAACTGAGTGGTGTTGTCTTCATTTTACAGTTAAGGCAATGAAGGCTCAGAAAAGTTAAATAACTCACCAACCCACACAGTTTACAAGTAGCTCCTCCAGAATCCCAGCTCTTTCCGACGCCAGCGCGTTTAATCATCTGGGGGTGCCGTTGCTGGCGGGGTAAGGAGAATATCCTAGTAATTATCTTGGGGGGATTTGGAGGGGACGACTTTTCAGAGGCATCCTCTAAGATACCCTTGAGACTCCTCTGTAACACCCGCTGCTGCCATTCACACCCCTCCCCAATTTGATTGATGTGTTGAGTGGGGCGGAAGGTTCTTTTGGTTGATGAGGCTGCGACCAAACGCAAGGAGATATAAATAGAGCTTTCTCTTTGGCTCTCTCTAGAGCAGAAATGCCAACCCCTTAGCATTTCCATGGCCTGCTGGAGTTTCATTTCTTGATATTAGGATTCCAGCCATCTTGGCTGGTGAGAGGCCTGCTGGCGGCTTCCTGGGCTTGGTCCTCTTTTGGTACTTGCCCAGAATGATGGAAGACACTGGAGTGGGCTGGAGGAGTACTCTTAAAACCCGGTTGTGGCTGATAGCGGTAGCTCATACCTGTCATCCCAGAGCTTTGGGAGGCCCAGACGGGAGGATCACTTGAAGCCAGGAGTTCAAGGTTGCAGTAAGCTATTACAGTGCCACTCTGCTCCTGCCTGGGTGACAGAGCAAGAGCCCATCTCTGAAAAATATAACACAACAACCCAGTTGCCTGCTCGAGAGACACCTAAGCTAGCCTCCTTCTGAGCCCCACTTCCCACACCCCTCAGCCCATGTTCAGAAACAGACTGCATTGGCCACACTGCTCACTTAGATGTTTCTGGAATTAGGGCACGTGCCCCAGAGGTACTCCCGACCACGCGGATGTCCCCTTCTAGCAGGAAAAGCGCGTTTCTGCAGCCTCAGTCCACGCCGCCGAGTCTTTGCACTGAGCTGTGGGCTCCGTTTCCCTCCGCTACTATGTTTAGCAAGTATTTCCTGAGATCCCACGGGGGCCCAGGGGCTGTGCTAAGAACAGAGCAGGCAGAGTGGGAGGGCATCGGCCCCTGGGGGGCTCACAGGACGGACAGTCCACCAGTGGTTGGAGGCCAGCACCCAGAGCCAGTCCGCTGTCGCACAAGCGTGTCCGATGGAATTCATGGGGGTGGGAGTGGTGATGGTGAGAGTCGGTTCCTGTTTCACCTTGTTTTTCTTCAATTGCACAGTGAAAGGGAGAAGTGAATGTGCAACGGATGAAGCAATTCCCCTTTGGCTGGGTTATTTTCAAAACCATTTTTGTGTAGAGAGCAGTTCCCTCCCTCCCTGAGGCCAGCTGCTGGTGTGGGCCTGATGGTGGGGTTTGGGGCCCCAGCAAATGTTTCCTCAGTGTGGGGCCTTCAGAAAGTTCTTTCAGGCCAGGTGAGGTGGTTCACGCCTGTAATCCCAGCACTTTGGGAGGCCGAGGTGGGCGGATCACTTGAGGTCAGGAGTTCAAAACCATCTTGGCCAACATGGTGAATCCCTGTCTCTACAAAAAAATGCAAAAAAAATTATCTGGGTATGGTGATGAGCACCTGTAATCCCAGCTACTCGGGAGGCGGAGGCAGGAGAATCGCTTCAACCCAGGAGGTGGAGGTTGCAGTGAGCTGAGATTGTGCTACTGCACTCCAGCCTGGGCAACAGAGTGAGACTCCATCTCAAAAAGAAAAAAAAGAAAAAAAGCTCTTTCAGCCAGGAGGGTGGCTTCAGCTATTCCCCAGGGGACAAGCGTGTTTCCCAGCAAAGCTGTTAGAGAAGATGGTCTAGAAGCAGTGCCCCAGGATGGATGAGACAAGGAAGGGCCCTGTCCACGGGAGGATGGCAGAGCCTGGCTTGTTTGAGAGGGAGGAAAATATTGTCATCTTGGTACTGGTGACAGTGTTTCATAATTAGCGAAGGTTGCAAAACGCCACCTTTCTCTCCCTACAGTTAACGCTAAGACTGAATTGTCTTTAATTTGGTTGGTGGAAATCCCCGGCAATCATATCAGAAATGCTGCCAGTTTCAAGATGGAAACAATAAAAAACCCAGGAACCCCTCGCCACCCTTTTTTTTATTGCAGCTAAACACTCTGGCTTGCTGTGGGTCCTACCAAAATAATGGGCCACCCTCGCCTCCCTGAGGGCCAGCACAGTCCCTGGGGCCTGTGAATGTTCCCCTTCCAGCTGCACTGGCTGGATATGCATGAAACTCCCCTCCCTCCCCAGAAGTGACAACCGCACCACCTCGGATAAGGGTCAGGACTCCTGGAAATGGGTCCCTTTTCCTATTACTTTCTTTTTTCTTTTTTTTTTTTTTTTGAGATGGAGTCTCACTTTGTTGCCCAGGCTGGAGTGCAGCGGTGTGATCTCGGCTCACTGCAACCTCTGCCTCCCAGGTTCAAGCGATTCTCCCACCTCAACCTCCCGAGTAGCTAGGATTACAGACATGCGCCACTATGGCCAGCTATTTTTAGTATTTTTAGCAGAGACGGTGTTTTGCCATGTTGGCCAGGCTGGTCTCAAACTCCTGACCTCAGGTGATCCGTCCACCTTGGCCTCCCAAAGTGCTACGTTTAAAGGCGTGAGCCACCGTGCCCAGCCTTCCTATTACATTCTGAGCACAGGGGGAGTGATCAGAGCGAAGGGTGCGGCATTTCTAAAGTGGTATTTCGGTTGGCTTCTGTTTCACTCATATTGGGGGAAATTGCTTCCACTTAGAGAAAATGCCGGAAGAGTGGGAGGTGCCAGGAGTAGGGTGGGGGAGGAGGAGATGCAGAAAGGGATGGACCTTTTTGGGATTTTTCATCCTGGAGGGATGCTGTACAGGTTAAATATCCCTTATCCAAAATGCTTGGGACCAGAAATGGGTTGGATTTTGGATTTTGGGATATTTGCATTATATGCTTACCAACTGGGCATTCCAAATCCAAATGTCTGACATCTAAAATGCTCCAAAGAGCGGCCGGGTGTGGTGGCTCACGCCTGTAATCCCAGCTCTTTGGGAGGCTGAGGTGGGCGGATCACCAGGTCAGGAGATCGAGACCATCCTGGCTAACATGGTGAAATCCCATCTCTACTGAAAATACAAAAAATTAGCTGAGCGTGGCAGTGGGCGCCTGTAGTCCCAGCTACTCTGGAGGCTGAGGCAGGAGAATGGCGTGAACCCGGGAGGAGGAGCTTGCAGTGAGCCGAGATGGCGCCACTGTGCTCCAGCCTGGATGACAGAGCAAGACTCCGTCCCAAAAAAATAAATAAAATAAAATAAAATAAAATAAAGTGCTCCAAAGAGCTTTGTATTCGATCATGATGGCACTCAAAAATTTCAGATTTTGGAACGTTTTAGATTTCAGATTTGGGATGCTCAACTGTTGTTAACCTCCTGTGGTTGCTGTAAAAAATGACCTCAAACTTTGTGGCTTAAAACAACAGAAATGTGCATGCTTATAGTTTCAGCTGCTTGGGAGGCTGAGGTGGGAGGATCATTTGTGCCCAGGAGTTTGAGGCTGCAGTGAGCCATGATGGAGCCTGTGAGTAGCCATGGCACTACAACCTGGGCAACATTGCGAGATCTGTCGCTAAAAGAAAATAACAGAAATGGGCCGGGTGTGGTGGCTCACGCCTGTAATCCCAGCACTTCGGGAAGCTGAGGTGGGCATATCACTTGAGGTCAGGAGTTCGAGACCAACCTGGCCAAAATGGTGAAGCCCCGTCTCTACTAAAAATACAAAAATTAGCCAGGCGTGGTGGCATGTGCCTGTAGTCCCAGCTATTTGGGAGGCTGAGACAGGAGAATCTCTTGAACCCAGGAGGCAGAGGTTGCAGTGAGCTAGACTACGCCACTGCACTCTAGCCTAGGTGACAGAGCGAAACTCCATCTCAAAAAAAAAAAAAAAAAAAATGTATTCTCTCACAGTTCTGGAGGCCAGAAGTTAAAAATTAAGGCGTCAGCAAGGCCTCACTCCCTCTGGGGGCTGTAGGGGGACAATCCTTCTTTGCTTTTCCTTCTGGAGGCTACAGCGTTTCTTGGCCTGTGGCTGCATCACTCCAGTCTCTGCCTCCGTCTTCACAAGGGCGTCCCCTCCGTGTGTCTGGGTCTCTGTCTATCTCTTATAAGGACACTTGTCTTCGGATTTAGGGCTCCCTTGGATAATTCGGGTAGAAATCATTTCAGGATCCTTAACTTACTTACATCAGCAAAGACCCATTTTGCACATTATTCTTTTTCCAGATAATGTCCAGGTCCTGGGGGTTAAGACCTGGCTTTGTGGGGGCTACCATTCAGCCCACTGCAGATAAACAGGAATGTCTTTCTGTGTTTTCTGGGGACGGTGGGGAGTGCTGTCATCTTTGCAAGGAAGCTGCCCTGTTCTGCCACTTGGGTGACCTTAGGCAAAGATGTCAGAGTCCGTGGTGATCTCTGCTGGACCATTGACCCCAGCCTCCTTCCTGCTTGCCGTTCCCCAACTTGTATGAACTGGCAGCCCACCGCATCCCACCCCTAACCTCCTGGGCTAACTTCTGGAGCTCAGAGGAGAAATGCTCTTACTTTCCCTCTCCAACAAACTCCTCCCTCTTTATCTTCAACAACAATCCCTGCCCTCCACAGCCCGTTCCCAGCCCAGGACTGCGCTCTCTCTCTCTGAGATCACACAGCGCCTCACATTTTGAACTTTTGTCTGTTGGGCAGCCACTGGCAGAGGTCGGGGGAGGGCTCAGGTGGGGACACAGATGCTGCTGTCTTCCCACCTCTTACCCCAGGACATGGTATGGGGCTGGTGGCACTGGGAGGGGTTTGGGGAGCCCCGTTCGTCATTGAAGTTTGTAGGAGGGGTGATGAGGACATGGGAGAATGACTGGGTGAGGTGCTCCGGGGCTCTCTGGAAGGGCTGGGCCCCCCTCTTGCGTCAGCCCCAGTGGGGGCATTGCTCTTGTCTATGTTGGTCATGAAATCTGGAAGAAATGCTTTCTTATCAACAGGGAAGCTAATCGGCCTTGTTTTTGAAACTTCGGAAAACCATTTATGGCTAGGCATGGTGGTTCATGCCTGTATTCCTAACACTTTGGGAGGCTAGGGAAGGAGGATCATTTGAGCCTAGGAGTTTGAGACCAGCCTGGGCAATACAGTGAGACCCCCATCTCTGCAAAAAATAAAAACAAATTAGCTGGGCATTGTGATGCACGCCTGTAGCCCCAGCTACGTGGGAGACTAAGGTGGGAGGATTACGTGAGTCCAGGAATTTAAGGCTGCAGTGAGCTATGGTTGCAACACTGCACTCCAGCCTGGGTGACAGAGCGAGACCTTGTCTCAGAAAAAAAAAAAAAAAGATAGTCATTTATGTCCAGGTGAGGGTGGGGCTGGGTGAGGTGGTGGTTTGAGGGGGATTGCCACATGGAAGAGAATATACTGTCTTTGGAGTCAGCTGAACTGGGTTTTTTCCCAGCCACTCTTTTTTTTTTTTTTTTTTTTTGAGGCAGAGTCTCACTCGGTTGCCCAGGCTGGAGTGCAGTGGTGGGATCT